GGGGCTAGGAGGCAGTCAAAGAGAGATAGAGTTCGCAAAAGAGAAACCAGGGGAAAAAAAAAAGAAAGAAAGCTGTTTCTAATGAAACACGTTTCCTCCAACCGCTTGCAATTTCACGTGTTTATTTAGTTCGTCTGACAGGAATGTTTTGAACCGAGAAACCTAATCAATTAGGTTTTGTTTCCTTGTCCAACCGAAGGAAGTCATTATTTCCTCAGGAACGGTAGAGAATTAAAGCGAAATTCAGAAAAGAAATCATCCATTTCTTTGCTCAATTGTTACCATGGCCAGCAAATAGAGCACTTTTAATACTTTTATTGAAACGTTCATTTTTTTAGAGTATAAGAAAAATATAACCCAGTTTACGTTGAAAACAGCAATTGTACATTGAGGGCGTCTACCCTTCGCCTACTTTATCCTGCACTTTTCCCTGCACTTTATAATCTGTATGCAAACGCAATTTTAAAAAAGTACAAAGGTTCTATATCATACGCAGCTAATTATAATAACATATTTTAAAGATATTGATAAATTTAAACTCCATCTTAGTAACTTTTGTATACACCACTGTTGTCTGGGGTAGACTGTGTATATGCCTCGAATATGGCTTTGCTGACACTACGCTGTGATAATCATGTTGAATTGTATATTATCTATATGTTGTGACCCCCAAAGACACAATTTAGATCATTTAGGAGGCAGACTGCGGCGATTATGTCTGACAGTGCCAAACCTATCTGAGAGGAATACAAAGCCTCAGCAGATAGAGAATGAAGAAAAAAATACTCTCCAAATGGGAATCGAACTAATGTTTTCTGTGTGCGAAGACGAATTTTCTAACAGTTACACCACAGATGTTAAATCACTGCCATAGAGACAGATTGCCCCATAACCAACTGATTAACCTCCCTATCTCCGTAAGCTTGGGCTGACCCTGAAGGGCAGGGTTTAAGCATCCCACCAAATAGAGGATCACTATTTTGTGAATATTGGCTTAGATAATTTGCAATAAAGGGCACACATTTGGCTACCGGTACCTCAAAATTACAAAATGTCTTCAGCTCAATATCTAGTTTTGAGAAACTGTATGTCAACATCTTTGAGTTTCACAATCAAGCTTTTCCAAATGCAATTCTAGGAATATCTTGAAAATGACTCCAGATACTCTTCTGATTTTGATACAGCAGACAGAGCAGCTGCTTTCTGACCTCGTGGTCTTAATAACTCAAAACGGCCAAAATGCTAGATAAAAACGTTATAATTCTGAGGTAGCAATTTGCCAAGAAACCTCCAGGAAAAAGACAGGAAGTTTCTAGTTACGTAGCCAACAATTCAGTCCCATAAATTACAATTCAATACTCATTACTCTGCTGGCAGGATATACCCCACAGTGTTTTGGCATTGCTCAGGGCGTTTTTTTTAAATTGGAAGAATGATTTAAAACCACTTAAAACCCCTACTACTATTTCCTCAGCAGTCTTGTATTTCTGTCTACTTGATTCTAGCAGCATTGTTCTTATGTGTGGATCTTGAGCCATCTTATCATCTTATATTACCTTACCATGTTTCTTTCTTTTTTTTCAGGTAGACGTGCTATTGTGGGCTGAGATTGACTCGGTTTTCTTTGGGGAAAAAACTCCAACCACTTAGTTAATGAAGTTGACTTGCTCAACTTTTCTCTGACGCCACTGGTATTGGAAGAAAGTGAGATTATCAGGGGGTTTTTTTTTTCTCCGTTTATTCACAACCCACTCATCTTCTTCCTTTCGTGGGAACCAATCAAAGGTTAATATTAGTGTATCAGATTTCGGAACTGTTGCAAAAAAGCGAATGCTCTGGGGGGGGGGGGCAATTTGATTTAAATGTACACGTTGCTGGCTTAACGCCGGCGTTACACACCTTCTTCTGCTTAAAAATAATATTTAGTTTTGGTGTGTTTCCGGGAAAAATGATAGCATGCAGTTTTTTCTTGTTACCAAACTTTAAAACAGGTGAACTTTAATAAATTCTCAGAGTGGAATAAAAAGGTGTGAGCAGAAAGATTACGAAATTATAATGCGAGCGAGGAAAAACTATCAAACGTTAATATTTTCTTGCAAATGAAAGGAGAAATATTACTTTCTATATTGGAATAATTTGCGTATCCTTCTGTGTGCACGTGAAATGTGTTCTAAGTTAGTAAGTGAGTATTTGCTTCAGAACATCTGAGATAATTGTGACACGGAAAGAAAGTATTTGTAAAACAAAGACTGGTTCGAAGTCTTGGACTTAAAAACATTTTTCTCGACAAGTGTTTTTTCAGCACTATGATTTTGAATTTGAAGACTATATGCCGAGTATTAACTCCATAACATTTGAGAGGATTACAAAAACAACAAAAGAAACTATTTACTAACCAAGAGAAGTTCGAAGTCTTGGATTTAGAAAACTGTTTTCTCGACAAGTGCTTCCTCAGCAACATGATAATGAATGTAAAGACTATGTGCCGAGGATTAGCTCCATAACATTTGCGGTGATTACGACAAAGAAAAGAAACTATTTACTAAGCAAGACAAGTTCGAAGATTTGGATTTGAACTCCGTTTTCTCGACAATATGATTATGAATTTGAAGACTATGTTTCGCTCTAGCTCCAACGCGTCTTACACCGTAGACCCTTACGATGGAAGTTTCCGCAATCTGGATGATAACGGCACGTCCATGTCCGCTGTTCGCGTGGAAATGATCAGCCCTACCAACAGCACATTCGTCGCCGGCCAAGTCACGAAGGACAGCTTTGCTCTCAACAGCTTTGACAACAGCAGCTTCATGAACCACAGCAACAGCAGCAGCAGCAGCAGCAGCAACAACAACAGCACGGACGAATACTTCGAGCTGGTGAAGCAGCCTCTTTTCATGCTGGTCATTCTGAGCATCTCTTACGGCATTGTGTTCCTGTTGGCGTTGCTAGGTAACCTGAGCGTCATCGCGGTGGTTGCTAGGGACCGTAGTCTCCACACAGCGACCAACTTCTTTTTGGTGAACCTGGCAGTTGCGGACATGTTGGTGGCTATCATCTGTTTGCCGATTACCCTGCTCTCGAATATCTACACCGGTGAGTACACACTTTTCTGGCCTAAATAGCTAATTCAAACCAGTTTCGTGGGTGGTTTGTAAGCGCCCTGGTCTGTTTTGCTGCTTCTTTCCTATCAAACGTCTACGGTTATTCAATCTCCTCATTTCCTTATCTGTAACATGCACCGCCCCCCGTTTTTAAGTTTCACATCCCAAAATAACCCCAGTAATAATTTGCAAAACAGTTACAAACACAATCACACCCAGACTTCGAGTAACGTGTGGTTTTGAACTCACACACAAAACTAACTTCTCACCGGTGTTAGAATGGGAGTGCAATACTCCCTTCAAATTAGTTTGGAGGCGGGGGAGGTCAATGCAACTGGCTTAAGGACATGATAGTGACAACTACACTTGTCAGTCCTTGATTTTTCTTGATATTGACCCCGCACAAGACTATCAAAAACAAGAAACTCACTTTTGCTTACTTAGTTTCAAACTCAAAGACTATAACAGGACATAACACCCCGTTCCTCTGAAAACAAACCAAAAAACAAAACAAAAACAAAACACTTGCAAATGGACATTCCTCCTGAAA